TATTGGCAAGCAGAGACAGAAGCGACGTCAGCAGAAGTCGGATCGCCAAGTTACGGCTCCCAACATGATTGTGCTTGCTGATTTGATGTTCCCGCCACAAAACAACAGTTCGCGGTTTGTCGTGGTTCTCGTAGTTATGGGTGGCTGGAGCCGATATCTCACTGTGTTCTTGCTCACCGACAAGAGTGGAAAATCTGTGAACAAGTACATGCAGCGCTACGCTGTGGGTGGAGCGCCAAGCTGGTCGTGGGATCACGAAGATCGTCCAGCGTATGCACGAGCTTGCAGAAAGCGCGAAGTTTCCGGTGCAACGCGTTCTCACAGATATAGGTGATGAGTTCGTGATCAAGGAAATGAAGGCGTTCTATGCGTAGCATGGAATCGAGCACATCAAAGTCGGACCTAAGAGCTCACATCTGAATGCTGTGGAGCGTGCGATCCAGTCGTTGAATGACTACAGGAAGACGCAGATGCACAAGTCCGAATTTGCTCGTTCGTTTCGGTGGTAAGCCCTTTTGCACTGGGTTTACATCAAGAGCATGATGTACCATCGAGCCATCGATGGGTTTCCAGTTCAGCGAGTGCTCAGCGTGAAAGCTGATCTGCACCACTTGAGGCCCTTTGGCTCGCTCGTGTACATCCAGGTGCCGAGCACACCGGAGAGTTCGAAGCGTGACGACAATGCTAACATTGGCTATCTACTTGGGCTCGAAATGGACACAGTTGGCGCACGTGTGTATATCCCCAACGAGAACACGGTCAAGTTTGTCGCTGAGGTTCGCGTTATTGCAGAGACTATTGTCGGTGCTACGGTTGCGTACGAAGCCTCTATGGCTGATGAGGATCGGTCGGCAGACGTCAATGAGGAGGATGAGGGCGAAGATCACGACAGCTAGGACGTCCGTGAGAATCACCAGGATATATGTGACTAGGCAAATGATGGTCATGATGATGGCGATTCTGTCTTGGCTAATTTTGGATCGGAGGTGGACTCAGCAGACGAAGGTCTGGTCGCACCTCGCGACCGAGGTGGGCGAGGACGTAAGCGATCCGACCGACGAGCAGGGACCGACTCACGAACAGGGCCCGGAGGTGAGGGATAGTACGGAAAACGGCCGAAGCAAGGACTCACCCGACGGTGACAATGCCGGTGCGGTGTCGGAACTGACCTCCACGGAACACTCCGTGCTTGAAAAGATCGTACTGCCAGAGGCCTGCGAAAGCGAGCGGAACGGGACGACAACCCGTCAGAAGCTGAGAAGAACCAGCTTGGAGAACGAGTGAAAGAACGTCGCACAGGCGTACGTCGGTGAACGCGCCGACCGGCTCGATTCGATGTCTTTGTCGGATGGGAAAATGTTGCGACGAAAATATTGGGTCGTGATGGCAGACCGATTAGTGCCAAGAACATCAGAGTCTTGAAGAATT